AATAACAACAAATATTTGGACAAAAATATTTAGAATGATAAAAAAATTCAACCACTTCTCTCATTCAAGATTTACTCGGGACAAGTGATAATTTTGCAATGAGATAAAAACTTTCCAGTGAGTAATGATACTCACTGGCTGGGCATGCTTTCTTGTGTCACATTGTCAACTTCCTTTGAACAACAATGCTCACAAACGTCCTAGGATGATGTCATCATTGTGTGTACATAAGGGTCCTTGACATGTTTGGAAGTAATCCCTCATTACTGAGGTGTTAAGTGAAGCACAAGGGCCAAACGTGACTGCGTTGGATTACATAGATCTGAAATTCGACCTTCTCCTCTGACTGCATGATGATGTCGATGTAAAGGGGCCGGAAAAAGAGATGGGTTCAATGGCATCAGTGATGAAGATCAATTATCTAAACTGGTCTCTATTGACTATAATCTCGCTATATTCTGTACTAACTCGACAACAGCTATAAGAGTGCTCCAAGTTAGTGACAACTGCTATTTGTTAATCATTACAAATAGCCTGGAAGTGCAGTAAGCAAGCAGACACACAACAAGATACAAGATACATATATCGGGTTAGAGATCTGGCTAACAGTCTACAACATGTGGACTGAAAAAATAGACAGCAATGGCTTCATGGAATACAAGTCTGTTGAGGTCTTATTTACGTCTCTGAACCATCTTCATGTATACAAACCAGTTGTGTCAATTAGAGGTAGCTTCAGAATCTAAACACATGGGTTTATTTATGAAATGTTCTCAGGTGGTCAGACTTTAATCTTAACAATTCCATTCAAGTGGTGGTCATGTCTAAGCAGGTCCAACCAGCCCAAGTGTGATAGTCACCCCAATAATTCATTCAAGTTTTTATATTGATCATGCATTACTGAAGTTTCTAAGCAATCAATTGAAGAAGTCTTGCTTTTAGTCAGCATGGTTTTTGAGAGAGTTTACACAATCTACTGCTTATTTTGGTCTGGTATGTCTAGATACACTTCAGGAATACATAACCTTTCCAAACACCTCCAAGGCTGACATAATGTAAAATAATCCTTTCCCTTCATTCTGAACAAACCAACTCTTCCGGAGCTGTTTGCTTGCTTTGACAGAAGTTGAGGGACACTGCACTTAGTCCAATATGCAGAAGGCATGTACACAACCTCTAACATATCACAAGTTATCTCTCTGGTTCTGATAAAGCCTTTTTATGCATTTATACAAGTCTCAGTGTCTGCTGATGCATAGCAAAACTATTCTGTAGACACAAACATGTGAAATGGAATGAAGATAAAAGATCTGTTTGCACTGCATGCTGGAATTTCAAAAAAGTGTTCGTGATTAGCAGAAAATATTTGACATTGAAGTGCACTTCTACTTGTACATGATCTTCATGTATATTACACAAGTTCGACATTAAACATTATCAGCATGCATAGTTCATTTTTTTCTCTCCCTTATCAGATGACACTGTGTTTTCTGATTGACTGCTATCAAATAACCCCAAGATGACTCAGTTTTAAGTCTGTCAGATGTACTGCTTTACTGTAGATGATAAACTGCTATACACTTCTATATCACCATGACATAGGCCACTGAACAATGGCGTACAGGTCAAGTATTAGCTGTAAAACTATCTTGCCAGTTTACACTGGTTCATATTAATGAATTTATAGGACTTCAAGGAACATGTATGCCTTCTGGACTTGTTGACAAAAGGGGCAACTTTATGCTGATTAAAGTCACTGTTTCCTCGAGTGATCTACATCCTACTGCTGTTGTAATTTGCATAAGTCAGATTTACAACATGTACAGGTAAGATCACTTAGAGGAACAGTTTCCAGGTTAATCATAGCCAGTATCAAGACTGCACTCAAGACAAGATTTTGTACTGTGTGCCTTTAATTAGACTCTTCTTTCCAATTCCAAAAATACCTACAAGGATCTATAATATACAAGGTACTAATTATATTCATTCAGTGTTCAAAATCAACAAAGGTCAAGAAATTGATTCAAATTCACGAAGGATGTTACTTCCTTCTAGACGATCCCTTTTACCTTTGGGTTACTGATAGTCTGTTTCACAGTCCCTGAACCACATAATTTCCCCTACTGCCTAGCCTTTCCTGCAATGCTAAAGCCCTACATGAAGCAAGTCTAGATTTCCCCTGAATCTCCCAACTCACCGGGGCTCCTTTTCAAATATAATTGGTATATTTGTTACGATCAATATTATATATATTCAGGAAATAAGCGTTAGTCTAGGTTACTAGCAGTTCTGTAGCAGATGCAGGCGAGTCTTTTTTAACAATGTAATCATACAAGGTACCTAAGACATATTTAGAACAGAACCCTACACTAGCAGAAATATAATTTTCAATGAAAAAAAGATATCAAAGTGAAGTGTAACTTAAAAAATATTCAAGCACATTTCCTAATTTTAATCGTGCAAAATGTAAAGCAATAAGTAATCTGGATGGAAAACCTACAAGTATGCAGTGTGGTTCTGACTTGCATTCCATGAAGCCTTGCTAACATACCTTGCTGGTAAACTCGCACGTCGTAAATACCGAGGGTCCATGCTTGCCACTAGCAAAACACATCAAACATGTCATCAACAACTGCACTAAAGATCACTAATCATCAGCTAGCATCACAAAAGAAACAAGTTGCCATTATCGACCAATAGCACAATGTACAATGTTACACTACTGACACAATATTACATGTTATAGCGACACAATATTGACACATGGACACACACACAAAACATGCTAAAACAAATAAATATTTACAAATGCCACAAATATCACAATTGCACGGGGAGGTTTTTTTATATACGCAGGCAGTATTGCTTGAATATGTCCATGTTTTAGTAAAAACTAGATTGAAAAATGTGTGACTGCCTGAATTTGTTAATGAATTTAAACTATCAGGCTCTGTAGCTCACCCTTCACAACTATACATCAGAGTTGTCATTGATGAGGTTTGTACAAAACGAAAAACGCAGAAGAAAGACAGATGCCTTAGCTATGAAATTTGATCATGGTAGATAGCAATTACTTTCAGGAAACTTACATATAAACACCTTTGTTTTCTCTAAATAAGGAACTTAAGCGATATCAAACACAATCAATTTGGTATTACTAAACACACTGGTAGTTCAATCCGTGCCAAATGACAGGTTTCACTTTCATTGATGACAAGGTTTCAGTATGCTGGTCTTTCTTCTATTTTTAACAGTATCTCATTTAAATTGCAATACGTGAGCTTAATGTGGTTGTAAAGCCATAATGATACTGAATGACGCTGAAATACTAGGATCATTAGCTGGGTAAATCTGAAATCTGATCTGAATATATGACCGTCGGAGCATTTTTACAGACAACCAACAAAACAGGAATGCCAGTAGTGGTGCACAGACAATCACTGACTTCCAGATGGTTTTTTTATCAGCTCACTAAAGATTACCTCATGTCCAATAAAACAGAAAATATACTGTACATGTTAGGCAGATAAAAACTAGACTGTTGCAAGTGTATCAACTTGGCAGGTGTTACAGCAAATTTATGATACTGCAAACATTGGTCATGGCTGAATCCTGATGTGCATGTTAACAAGTCTGTTATCATGTCTGTTAATATGGCATTCAAATAATGTACTTATGGCCATGCACTGTATAAAAGTAAACTTTGGATGAATGTATGCACTGTGTATGTATGTATTCTGAATGTTCGATAGACAAAAAGAGTGAATGATATAGGACATGTTCACCTCTCCAAACCTGACACAGCCATGGCATCAGGTTGATCACAGAACCTCGACTGCAGTGGAATATACACTAGACAGTTCACATGTTTGGCTCAATGATGGCAAATTGACAAGAACAGCAGTTGTGTCATCTGTAGTTTTAGCTGTAGCATATTCAATTTACACTTAGATTGGTTGGTTGGTTGTTTAGGCGCGCACTCAGCAATATTCCAGCTATATGGCGGCGGTCTGTAAATACTCGAGTTTGGACCAGACAATCCAATGATCAACAGCATGAGCATCGATCTACGATTTGGGATACGATGACATGTGTTAACCAAATCAGTGAGCCTGGCCACCCGATCCCATTAGTTGCCACTTACAACAAGCATGGGTTACGGAAGACCAATTCTAACCCGGATCTTCACGGGTCTTACACTTAGAAAGAACCTGCTTGCTTCATTTCCATGTCCCAGGGGTCAAATATCACAGACCAACACCAAACTGACATCAACAGTTCATTCTTCTTGTTTTCCTTACGACAACCGAGATATCACAGTGAAACAGTTACACGCAATACCCGGACAACAGTCACATGATCCTTTGACAACACTAAAGGGCAAATGTGGGACATTCTCATTTGAAATGATGCTGCAGCAGTTACAAAGGCCAAAGGACACTAATACAAGTACCACAGAACCCTGGTACAAAATGCAGAAGCTGGAGGACATTGACACACATATTTCGCTTGTACAAAGCTCAATATTTCCTTGGGATCCTGTCCCAATCTGTAACAGCTACACAACACTGATTCACACATATCCTCCTGTATCCAGGTACAAAGCTGAACATTTTGCTTCCACCATGGTGCAAGCTGCAAATGCAAGACACTGATTCACATTTATTAACCGTATACCCTGGTACAATTTGCTGCTAATTATCCACACACATCCCTTGTACCCTGGTACAACCTGCTGCAGAAGACACACCAATTATCCACACACATCCCTTGTACCCTGGTACAATTGCTGCAGCAGACACACCAATTATCCACAGATGTCCCTTGTACCCTGGTACAACCTGCTGCAGCAGACACACCAATTATCCACAGACATCCCTTGTACCCTGGTACAACCTGCTGCAGCAGACACACCAATTATCCACACACATCCCTTGTACCCTGGTACAATCTGCTGCAGCTACAACAAACTGAATATGGACACTACTCTTGGTACTTACATAGCTGGTCTGTTGAGCCTATGCAGGAAAGACCCCAGCACCGACGCCCTTCCTCCGCTGTCAACGCTTGGCACCGCAGCAGCAGCGGCGACTAAATTCCCACCACTGCCACCGAGGGAACTACATTCACCCTCATCCTCGACCTCCACAAAACTGCTGCTACCTGTAACAAAATCAACAGAAGCTTGACAGAGGGACAGACTTCCAATTTCACAGGTCGGTTGTACCATGTTTCAACTATGACCCCAATAGACAGTAACCTTGACCTCAATCATAAGGGAGGCAGACATATAATAATGGAAAGATAAATATGTAGCTACATGAAGAAAAATAATCAATCTTTACAGATTGAAAACATGTACCAGAATGAATTTTTTCAACATTCGTTCTGAGGATTTGGGTGACCTTGACCTTCTGTGCATACCGGCCAAATCTGAAATTTGACAGCTGTGACTCAGAGACTATGTATGCAGATCTCAGACAGCGACAGGGTGTCAATACGTTCTTCAATTAGTGACGGAAACCTACAATGACCTAAATGTTTCACAATATATATTCATCGTCAATGTCAGAAAATAATCAGTCTTGATTATCAACGAAAACGAATGCCATTGGGACTAAAAGGCAACATGACACTGAAAATAATGTGGATGGATCAAAGACGGAAAATCAGTGATGACACCAGGTCTTCACAAAGTACCACCAGATCACATGCAACCTTGACAATAGTCAGTTGCTCTATTACAGGGTAATATATTCAGTGTTTGAAGTTGAGAGTGCAACTCAAAGGAGTCATTGTCATAATCCGAAATTCAAAGAGATTTGGTTCAGGGGTCCTAACAAGGAAATAACATCTCAAGGGTGCTTTGATTAGAACTCTAATAATGTTGACCTCTATTGTAAATGGGCAACAAGAAGCATCAAAACAAACATACTCCATTTAATACCATATGTCGGCTCACCACAGTTTCTCATTTTCCCTGAACTGTAACTGTTCCTGAAAAATAGCCAACACAATCATACACCTGCAGGAACACTCCCACCATGCTTCCATGTCAACTTCCCAGCCACATCTCTGATCATAAGGAAGGCCTGTCTACCAGGCTTATCACTGCTTCATAATTATGCACAATGTTGCATAGAAAATGGATAACAAATATTGATTTCTTCATAGTTACAGCCATGGCATCATATTATCACATCCCCAATGTGTGAAGTCAGAGGGACTCATCCAAGCTCCAGCATCTATTTTGATGTTACATCACCTACCACCCAATCATTACGTGAAGTACAGTCAGCTCAGACATCTGCTTCAGTAAGCAGCACCTACATACATCCAACGCTGGGAGGCAGGAGAAATCTGGAAGCAGTGTTAATCACATTAGCTACTATTGCTGTGATGAGTTATCTGTGATCAGCAATCAGAGGTGAGTGGTCATCAATGGTGCCATTACCATGCTATCACGATGGCATCACGCAATCACGCTTCTACGGATAACTATTCATCGGCAGCTAAGACTGCTACTTCTCTGTGTTGCAACCCATGAAACAGATTACACACAGACAGTAGTTTATGATGATAACTGATGTGGGAGATGCTTCATCATGATATGGAAAAACCTGCCAAGTGAATGTAATATTGTGCAAGTCAGCAAGTTTCTGCCTTATCACAGCAGTCTGTAAATGCCCCAGTCGGGACTGCTTGAACCAGTGTGAGATAGCATGAGCATCAGTTCAACACCACACAGTCATATGGTCACACAATGTGACAATCGGATCTACATTATCTGACAAGCAGAGACTATGGAGGACCAGTTGCTATGCCATGGAATCCCCATGCAGTACAATGTTATATTTGGTCCATCACACTGTTTTTACAGATAAATCAATGCCATAAAAGCTGCTCACTTCTCCTTTATGACATCTTATATTACCATGATTATCTGACTGATCATGAGAACCCACAATTATGGGTAACCACAAATAGGAGATTGACTGGAATAATTTACAGATTCCAGTGTCATAGCTGCATATATTCTGCTAAATGGCCAAAAAATGCAACATTTTCATTCCTATGAAAGTGCAACTTCTGATGTGGCATGTTTTAAATTTCAAAAGAAAGAATAAAACTCCAGACTCTTAAAGTTATCAATCAAGCTGTGGATGTTTTCTTTTTTGAATAGACGTGATGTCTAAAGTATCAAATTTGAAGACCATATACTATAGATGTGCCAGGAATAACAATCCCAGCAGCAGCATCAGCAGGGATGAAGTTGGTCAGTGTTCAGGTCATTGATCCGGTCCAGAATGATCAACATCTCGGTGCAGTGTGTAATTAAACCAGATTCATGTGCTCCTGTTTCTACAAACCAGTGTTAGCCAAACACAGATACAAAATTCTTGATTAGATTGTTAAACCCTTGCCATTATCACCTGATGACATTGAAGACATTAAAAATCATCTACAGCAGGAGTGAATCATTGATAAATGCTGCCCAGACTAATATTGCCATAGAGAGACATGGGTTTATGATGCTCGATACAAACCAAGTGGTGAAATCGCAAAACAATTCACAGCTGTCGAGTACAATGGGACGTAAAATACAAGACTTACAGTACATGATTCTGAGGATCTGAATGTCACTACTAGCATGGAGTATCTTTGGTTACACAGTGTATCATCATGACTACAAATTTACAGTATATAATCTGGAGTGAGTGAGTGAGTGAGTTTAGTTTTACGCCGCACTCAGCAATATTCCAGCTATATGGCGGTGGTCTGTAAATAATCGAGTCTGGACCAGTCAATCCAGTGATCAACAGCATGAGCACCGATCTGCGTAATTGGGAACCGATGACATGTGTCAACCAAGTCAGCGAAACTGACCACCCGATCCCGTCAGTCGCTTCTTACGACAAGCATAGTCGCCTTTTATGACAAGCACATGGGTTGCTGAAGACCTATTCTACCCCGGATCTTCACGGGTCATATAATCTGGAACAATTTGCACCCTGGGACGTGACATCACAATTTGCCCCATCTCTGGCTTTACACAGAATTTCTCTCACACATGACAGTAAATTGACAGCTATTTTCAGGTATTATTGGTACACTTTTATATGAAATGCTAATATAAACATCACAAATATGTCTGGAAAATGCTGGTATCTTACATTGTTCCCAAACGTGCATATGTTCAGCTTGTTTCAAAATTGACAGAAATGACAAGTTGAAATAAACTTAAGATACTGATAAATAAGCTACTGATTCCTGTGATTGATAAGGAAAAACTATCCACAGTCAGCTTCCTAAACATAATGTGTCTGTTTAATATGCATTGTGACCATAGCAACACCTAATCACTGTTGCAATAGAAAAGTCAGGATAATATCCGTCGCTAGCTATTTAAAGGGTCATGCAATTCCAACTGGGCTCAAAATGAAGCTACTGTATGGTGTGCATCACAATATAACTGACACACAACATACTAGATAATACACTAGACACTACACTAGACGACTTGGATGTACTTGTTCCCTTCCCCATCAATAACATCGGAAGTGTGTGAATACAGTCATGAGTCAAAGGTCAAATATCTTTCATATAGGGCAGCTTAGAGAACAGTTGAAATGTTATGGCTAAAATGAATTGATACTGATTCAAGCACAATTTCCAATTCAAAGATTCATGTTTTTTTACTTTGACAGTGTGGTTAATGGATTGTTCGATTCGGTCATTGTTATGATACAAACTTAGTAATTTTCACCTAATGTGCGTACTGCATTGAATGTATAATGCATTTACTCCTTTTGCAGTATCACTGTAGGCTGACATCAGCTATTTGTTAGACCCACTGTATCCATGTGGGGAATTAGAATCTTACTCATGAGACTCGCCAATGCTTATATATTGAGCCTTAAATACTTTTATTGAGTGATCTTTCCTTATGATAGTACTCCTGAAGATCAGGGTTAGAACTGGTCTTCAGTAACCCATGCTTGTCGTAAAAGGCGACTATCAGGATCTGGTGGTCTGGTTCGATAACCTGGTTGACACATGTAATCTTATCCCGATCGATGCTCATTATGTTGATCACTGGATTGTCTGGTCCAGACTTGATTATTTACAGACCGCCGTCATATAGCTGGAACATTGCTGAGAGTGGCGTTAAACAACAAACCAACCAAACACCCAACCTTATGATAGCAAATACTATACACGGTAATAGGCAATGTTTATATTGCCCTTTCAATAAGCTAATAGTGACCTCAATAAAGTTCTTCTGATAAAGGCATCTGATTAGGAAAAGTAGACAAATTGATGACAGAACAACACACATATGGAGAACATTTTGTATGTAAAAAATCCACAGACTTGTTTCACTGTCACATGAAAGTTGCTGTTTGGCAATAAAGTGTGTGAGTTTAGCTTTTAGAAATATTCCAGCAATATCATGACGTAGGACATCAGAAATTCACACATTGTAACCATGTGGGGAATCGAACCCGTGTCTTCGGTGTGATGAGCGAACACTTTAACCGCTAGGCTACCCCACCGCCCTTTGGCAATAAAGAACTATATGAATCATTAACACTGAAGGAAAAACTCTAACCACAAGAATGTACCTTTTGTAAGCAGACATGAAAGCCTTCGATAAATTGCAGTCCATTTAACAAAATACAGATAGGCAACATTGAGTTTCTTACAGAAAATTACCACCCTCTTTTCAGTGGTTATTGAACTATATGCACCAGCAAGACCTCCAATTAGTCAGTCAACTGTATCCTGACCGCGGACAAAATCCATCTCAACTTCTTATTTTAGATGTGTACTTTAACAAAACCTGTTGTAACCTGAAGACAGGTATTTCAACATCAATGACTTCAAATTACCGAACTATGAATAGAGTAGAAAGGCATCAATTAGGTGTCCATGAATTATAGATGATGAATGCAGATAACAATAGAAACAGCATTTTCCTGTGACCTGCCCCAGTGCCTTCAATGCTTGGTTGTAGAGTCGGGCTGTTATACTTGCCACACAGACCAAATTATGCATAGCATAACAGATGAACACACTAAACCTGCTGGGGTGTGAATAATGTTTTCATGTGAAGATGTCAATCAGTGACAGCAAAGTAACAGATATACACAAGCTTTGGATTTGGTACTACCACTCGATTATCCTGTAGCCATATATACAGAGCCCTTAGCAATACATTTTCATTTGTTTTAAACTTCCTTTCTATGGTTATCAAATGTCTTGGCAAAATTTAGGGATTCCATTGTCTCAGACCCTACTTTCTCCTTAAAATGTCTCCCCACCACTGTATGTCACGTAGAACTGTCTCACTATCAAAAAAGTATCATGAAGATCCGGGTTAGAATTGATCTTCAGCAACCCATGCTTGTTGTAAGGGGCAACCAACAGGATCAGGTGGTCAGACTCATTGTGTAGATTGACGCTCATGCTGTTGACACATGTCATTGTATCCTAATTCTGTAGATCGACACTCATGCTGTCGATCACTGGATTGTCTTAGACCACTGACCTCTACCTTCCACAGAATCGGGAACATTTAAATGAAATCAGGAGAGCAATTATTTTTTAAATAAAGACAAAACCAAATGGTACCTTTAACTTTCCATCAGGAATTCAGCTTGTTCATGTCACTTTATGTATTTACATTTTTATTTTTCATATTTCATTTATTTACTATTTCAAGACAGATCAGTCATAATGATTTGGATTTCATCATTGACAAGACCGGGGATATTTTTTAACAATTTTTCATTGAAAGTTCAGCATTTACTGCCATCAGTTTCTGCAGCAGAGTCGCCGATATTCTCTGATTCTTGAATTGACCAACCCTTATCAGCAGCTTTCCTGACCTCTTCATTGCCTGCAGCCACATACTGACTATCACCTTTACAAAGTTTTGGGGGAAAATTCAATAAACTTGGCCCTTCCGATGCTTTCCCTTCCAGACACTATGACAAGCAGATAGCCACATGTGACAAAGATAAAAGACTGTAAAATGAAAGCTTAAAGTCTTTTGGGCCTGGTGTAATTACATATGTATAAAATTGCAATGGCCAATTCAGACCAAAAGTATTAATAAACCTATCAATAATGAATGTTAGCTAAACACTTTAGAGGTTAAGATAAATGATTCATGTATTCCAACAGCCATAATGAGTTCATTTCTGATTGTGACAAAGATTCATGAAACTTAATTTTCAGATACTCTGTTGAGTCCCTTGGTCTTGGATACTTTTCTTTGAACAAAAATCTCACCTCCACTATATCTACATGTAAATTTCGTCAATACAGGTGAACATTACACAATACACATAACTATAAGCATAATAAACCCTTTTCAGATGCAGATGTATTAACTGATTCAAATCTTAAAACGTATGTTGGTATCAGGATTCTCTGAGCTGGACATTTAGACATTTTCTGTTAGCTGAAAGATGTGAAACTTTCAGAGGGACTATTCTTTTCCTTCCAGAATCTTGTAATTTTACAAAACTGACTAGTCCCAAATGAACTGTGGATCAGTTCAATCAGGGCATCTAAATCTGGAGCCTTCTATTCATTCCCTTTGGTGTGAACTTCATGACAAAGAGTTACACATAATCTACACAACCCTAGTCAGTACAAGTTCAGGTTACTATGAACCTAAAATGTGACTGGACTCCACATGACAGAATCAAATCCAATAAGCTATTTAGTCACTTTTCTCAGACACATTCAAAACTGCTGAACTCATAACAAGTCTACATAAGGGTCATGACGTTTTTGCAAAGTATTTCCCAACTTGTGGAAGAGTCGGAAAGTTCCCACCAACACACTGTCCATATTGCAACATCAATGACAAACTGCCTGTTATTTCAGTTCATAATCACAAAGAGCCCGGCTTAAACACTGACATGCATTCAAGAATATGTTAGTTGAAGTTTGTTTGTTTGTCGTGAGACAGCCAAACACATGAATGAGCACAAGATAAACGGAGTCCTGTTTGTCAATATTGGTCTGCACATTCAAACAACCCTGCAATCTCAATCTATAAGCAGGCCCCACGGATCCAAGCTGAAGATACTGCAAGTGTTTGCTCCCACACTGTACCAGTAATGAGTGACTAAAGACACCTATCTCAACTTGTAATCAACAACATCTCCCCAAACAACTTGCACACTAATGTCTGACCTTCAATCACAAACTCCAAACAGCATGCGTTGTGTGTTAGTTTAAAGTATACACCAGTCGGCTACCTCTTACACCTTCACCTGCACAGCCGCTCACGTCAACAGCTAGATCCTGCGTGACGACTTTCAGTGGTGAGGGTATTGAACTGCTCCTAATTACAATGTATTGCAGTCTATTTTAGTGTTTAATTGGACTCGTTTCACACACAAAATGTATTGAACATCGATGATCGGGTGTATTTAGAAGACAACTGTTTATAGCCAAGAGGACATATTTCATGTCACGATCAAGAATCTTCTTCTAGACTGAGTGTACTGGAGAGGTTTCAGATGATCCTACACTGTATGATCAGCTTGCTGACCAAGGTCTTAGATCAGTCATATGATCCGTTTCTGAAACTTCCTGCTCTTGTCATACTGTAAACTTTGGCTGGATTTATGATTACATATACTGATCCATGAAGATCAGGGTTAGAATTGATCTTCAGTAACCCATGCTTGTCGTAAGAGGTGACAAACGGGATTGGGTGGTCAGACTTGCTGACTTGGTTGACACGTGTCATCGGTTCCCAATTGCGTTTATCGATGCTCATGTTGTTTATCACTGGATTGTCTGGTCCAGACTTGATTATTTACAGACCGCCGCCATATAGCTGGAACATTGCTGAGTGTGCCAAAACTAAACTCACTTACTATGACTATACTATCCTGAGTGACTCTATACAGTGGTGAACCTAGAGTGTGCCAATGATGCAAAGGAGCACAGAAATGTAAAATGACCTTTAAAAGTCGCTCCAAATGGCCAAATAAGTCCTCCATAAATATGAACTGATTGCTCATAGTTTTGAGTGTAACAGATTTTCTGTGATACCATCCTCAGAGGCAAAAACCTTCACAAGCAGATTATTTATCACTTCTCGCTGATGAATCATGTCACTTTATTAGTGTTGTAAATCCCTGTCTTTTATATAAATTATTTGTTTCTTATTCAATGTTCTCACATGCTTTGGTTTTGTGTCCCCTGATTTTTCAACACAAGACACAAGGGTCCAAATGTCCCTGATCACCCAATTCCTAGATCTATCACTGTCTGGTACATGATATTCTTCTTGTTTCCAGTATTACTCTGACACACGGTATATAACATACAATTACTTTGTATATATACCCTTCAAAGGCAGACATCTTATGAACGGACCACCATTTCTCTTTATCACCACCCCTAAACATAGCGTGCACAATGCAGTAGAAGGTTTGAAAGACACTGAGGTTTTTTTAGCTTTTCGCCATGTGAGCATTGTCAACTTGTACTTGTCACCGTGTGTGTGTGTGTGTGTGTGTGTGTGTGTGTGTGTGTGTGTGTGTGTGTGTGTGTGTGAGTGGGTTTAATCACTGACCTTGTGTACTGATGATTTGGTCTCAGTGAGTGAGTGTGTGTGTGAGTTGAGGGGTGAGTGAGTGAGTGAGTGAGTGAGTGAGTGAGTGAGTGAGTGAGTGAGTGAGTGAGTGAGTGAGTTCAGCTTTACGCTTCTTTTAGTAATATTAATTTCCAGCAATATTTTAGCGGGAGACACCAGAAATGGACTTCACACATTGTACTCATGTGGGGAATTGAATTCGGGTCTTCAACGTGATGAGTGAACGCCTAACCCACTGCCCCCCAAAGTACTAGAAACTGTACTTTACTAAACAAAAAAGCATAATCCGAAATATAACATATCCTACATATACAACTTAGTTAAACAATCATCTCAAGCTATTTTTGACGTGCTAGTCTATCATTAAACAGGGCTCCAGCATACCAATGCTAACGCAGAAAAGCAGTATCTAGAGCTTTGTGAACGGGGCCCAGGGATCCAGATAAGGGCCGGAAAAAATATGTAACGGATAAAAAATATGCACGATATGGTAGGAAATAATTTAGAAAACGTAGCAGATACGCACCACAGCAATGGTGTACGGTCTTAGAATCATTTACAGACATATTTATCTGAAACATTATTGTTTTATTGTTTATTGACCTGTTTACACAAGAGTAGCGATGTTGTGGTGCATATATGAAACGAAACACACGATTACTGATACTCCATTAAATTCCATTCAGTACTCTAAATGTACTCTTAAGGTTTTCCAGTACTCCTGTATTGAAAAAATAAGGAGTACGTACTCCTGATGTTGAAAAATTATCTGGAGCCCTGATTAAACATCAATCTCTGATGAACACATGATTTGAAACTAAGCATGATGGTTAAGGGATCCCTGTGTAACCCTAGTATAAAGTTTCTAATACAACCGAAGGCTTCAAGGACCAACAGAGACTCACCTTAGTTTTGAATACAATGGGTAGTTTGTCATAGTTCTGAATTGGTGGATTACTGTTTCGTTTTGAGACAAAGCTTGGTCGGCGTATCAGTTAAATTATTCACACTGGAAAGCTGGCAACATTCAATCAATACCTGCTTAGTAAACTGTCCTACCGAACAACATTCATTACAGATTCAGAACATGCATTAGTACCACATGGAAACCTTTCCACTCACTGAATATTTCACAAGTAGGAAGTAGTCTTGCTAGAAGTAAAAGACATTTTGTTTACATAATGTCTGACAACAGAAATATTGTACTTCACTAATCTTTTTGTGATGAAATAATTCAGCCCTGGAGTCATATAACACAAGCACAATGAATTTCAAGTTCATACTAGCATATGACGGAAACGTAACATGGCAATGTTAAAATTCAAAATGTGCTGTATTAACCCCAATGTTGTCAAAACCAAATAAACTCATGTGCTTAGAAAACACTAGACGACCTACCTGTAGAGTTGGTTCTTCTAGCTGAGATGCGTAAAAGGGAGGGAACTGCTGTGGGTCGGCCAAGTTGACCCGCACTCTGCGAGCTTAGGAGGGGCCTGTCATGCCGAACTGAAATACAAGACAAAAATAATACCATAAATGAATATATAATATGTTCATCAATATTTGCACACAGAGGTTTATCCCTTTCCCCGGTCTCTTCTTCGGCACAGATCAGTATCATGTATCACTTCTCTCTCAGTCTTACATCAACTTGGGTCTGTCATACAGACCCTGAAACAAATATAGCCAAGAAAGCCCATGCAAGTCTAGAATATGTGGTAAGTCTAGATTACTACAGTTTCAGGACCTTTTCATAATACTGTATGACCATTATTTAGGAAAAACATTCTGTAAAATATGTTCAGAGACTAGACAATAATCTGATCTACATGAAGCTTGGGCTAGATGTTCTCAAATGGTGACTCAAATCTACAGATCTGTTTTGAAGGGTTTCTGAGATGTATTGTAAATTAGCAGTTTTTCATGTATGTACATGAAGTATTTGAACTGTGAAAAAAAGTCAGTGCATTAAGTAGTGACAGTATTATGTTTTTCATAAGCTGACATAGATATTAATTTTAGAAAATGTTTCAGAATGCAGCCTTTTGACAAATTCAAAACAAGTATGCTGATACACCAACATAAAAACTCTCTGGAAAAAAGGAATACATGTAGTTATTTATGATTCTTGCAAACAAAAAATAATCATGATGATGACTAGAACCTTTTCCACAAAAACTATGTGTAACGTGACATACATGTTGACCAACACCTTGTGTAAAGTTTATCACTTGCACCAAGGGACCTCGAGGTCACAGTGAGGTCAACCACCGAGGAACCTGGTTGAGCAACAGTGGAGAGGGTGTGACGCTGTTAGACAGCTTTGTAGTGGTTGGTGTAGTGACTGCTGACAAGAGGTGTGAACTGCACCAGGTGTTGCAAGTCAGTGTGATCAAGGAACTCAACACACACTGAAATATGCTTCCCCAGCTAAAATACACCAGTCACTTCACACACCCAAACCATTTCCACTGATGTGACCTACAGCTAGCACTATTCACGGCAATCAAGTACTTTTTGTCAGCACTCGCCTATACAATGATAACATAAAAGATTACTGTTAAAATTGAAAATTTTTACGGCATTCACGGGAATCAAGTACTTTTTGTCAGCACTCGCCTAAACAATGATAACATAAAAGATTACTGTTAAAATTGAAAAATTTCTATGTGTGCAAAGGATATAATTCATGTGGGAAAGATAAGTTCCTGTGAGTGCCCGATACTGTGTGTTTGATAATTTGACAGTGATATATGTTATATTTGGGATTACACTTTCTCAGTAAAGTCCACATTCTGGTACTTTTGTTGGGTTGAGTCCCATGTGGGACTTTCACAGCGGTGGCTGAATGGGTTAGGCAGCTGACTTTTTGTGCTGGCGATTAGGATTAGGTGCCTGACTGAGGGTGTGCGTTCGAATCCCGGATGGGACTCAACCCAATAAAAGTACTAGAATGTGTACTTTACTGAGAAAGTGTAATCCCAAATATAACATATATCACTGTCAAATTATCAAACACACAGTATCGGGCACTCACAGGAACTATCTTTCCCACATGAATCTAATCATGTTCATGGTACTCAAATTGATCAAGTAATCAGCTTAATGACAGGACACATTTGACAAATCATTCCACTAAGGAATGGTCACGGATGTACTAGTAGTATATAGACATTCATTTAACTTCATACTTTGTACCAAAACCCTCTGAGTACTATTGCACCTATCATAGCTCATGTTAAATAGTAAATATATCATGTTATATATATACAAGCAACTCTGACATTTTCCCATCCTCTGGGAAATATGATACAACCTCCCACCATTCCACAAGTCGTCCAAAGGAAACAGAGATATCTAATACCTGGGAAATCCAATTGTTTCTGAACTGGCTCAGTTTCAAAAGCCCAATAGTGCCAAATGATTAACTCTCTCATGAGATTACCAGTAGTTAGAATGTCTTGGTATTTCATAGCATATTGAGTACTGTGTTGACATATTATATCAAGTGGACACCTCCCTTTTTGATTATTAAATTGTCATCTTAACATTTCAACCTTCTTTGTACTCTTGGAGGTAAACTAGCTGTAAGCATCGAGTGGGAACAATAAATGGAGGTGGTCTCGACACTGTGTATCAAATTCAAGCTCATCACTAAATCATACATGGTTAATACTGTCAGTTTCAATGAGTGGGTGTTTGGGAATCAATATTTCCATATATTTTATATATGCCCTAAATTCATTGAGACTGAAATAATGATAGCTGAATCCTAGATATAATCAAACATGTAGGCACCATATTGAACTTCGTACATCAGTATGCAAATATTATACCAGGCCTGCCAGAGCCACGCTGCCAGTTCACAAGTGCGCCATTTTAAGATGCCACGGCCAGACTAATATTGGCAAGAGCGTACTTTAATTGTCCGCATTTCCTTAGTGAAAGCCCCTTGCAACACTTGTACACAGATTACTTCCACTGAGACTAAACGGTCCAGATAAACATGCTCAAGTGCCTTTTAACATGCAGGAGTTCCCTACTGAGATACCACATGATCTCTCCCTTTCTTCACAATGGTGAAATGGTGCTGATGACACTGCTTGTGTTTTATTGGCAAGAAGTGTCTGACAATCAATTCTCACATCATTAGTGTTTTACAGAGACTGGCTAGACAGGGAGCCTCTAGGGGCTGCTTCCTGTTGAAAGACTGATACACAACTAAAGGGGAGGTAATTCCCAACTATTTGCTAACTTTACAACTTCAGATGTTTCCATTTTCTGTAACGGTTGTCTCAATCCACCACCATATCAATGCACTGCAAGTTTATGTCTGAAAATACAATACAATATAGGCATTCCCATGTTTCGACTGACCCTTCACTTCTGCTTCTGTTTTCAGAAAGTTCTAATACTTCTATTTCTGATGACGTTTTGCAACCACTTGCTTGTCGGTCATGTACATTAGCTTACTGCCTATTATAGAACAAATGCTAAATCTTATTACCTATTACTATTAGAAAGAGCTTAAGTTAACCACTAGGTCATATCAAACACAAACTAGTTGATAGTAATGATTTTATGATGCTTGGTAAGTGCTTTGTGACACCTCCTTCTTCATTACCAGATCCTTGGGCTGTACACACAACAGATCTTGAAGAGAAGAGAGTGACTGAGGTAGTTTGATCCTTGCAAAGAGTATTTGGTGAACACCAACAATGAAAGGTTAACATGACTATTTTAGATTACTAGACAATCAAAGACCACTCCTACAGCAATAATAATGATCTTACCTTACCTTATCTTCAATTACAAGTTTCATAATAACACCATCTTAAAGTAACACACACTATGAGTAGCTGACTTTGGTTTAGGTGAGGTGAGCTGAAATTGGGTTTAACGTCGTGTTTGAGAATATTTCACTCATATGACGACGTGCATGCGTGTGTATGTGTATGTGCGGCTGCTTGTACTAGCCCAGACTGAAGCTGGTTTTAAAGTGCTAGCCCACTGAGATGCCATGCCGCAGTGAAGCATGAATACCCCACTCAGACACATTATACTGACTCCGAGCCGACCAGTCCTTGTTGTACCCATTAATGCCGAGCGCCGGGCAGAGGCCAACAAGTACCGTATTTTAACGTCTTCTGGTATGACGCGGTCGGGGATTGAACCCGCAACCTCCCGCTCTCCCGGACGCTCTAACCACTACACCACGGAGGCGGTGACTTTGGTTTAACATTACTTGGAGCCATTATTATGTTAGTTTTAATGTGGGATGAAATTCCTTTTGGCACAATCCTTCCAGATATACCACTTTGGTGAAACCCACTGTGAGGGAAAGTATTGTGCTGTCAGTCCACAGAACAAGATCTTCACAAATACATGATGAATGTACAATGGCAAACTGAGACACCTTAGATGACTAGTCTGCCAATCCCTGTTGTACTTCTCCATTGTACAGAGTAAGGATTTCTCCTGAAGCTGAAGTTTTCATCATTAGATCTTATTATTTTTCTCAACAATGGAAATCACAAAATCAGAGTTTTTCAGCCAATCAGATGAATTGCAGGAAACAACAGACTGCAAGTCTGACAGATTCACTGCTTGTTCAGCGCAAACCACATACCATTCAGGCTGTTGCACAACATGTATACATACAGCGATTGCATCAACACCTTCACAGTTAGCCCCAATCCCCTCCAACTATGAAACCCAATCTGTGCCTGGGTCCGTGTGCCCTTTCCCTGCTGCCATGTGATGATGCTCCTCCCTGCATTCACCACATGCCTCTATTACACTGGCAATGTCGGCCATGCAGGCTGCTACAGATGAAAGCTGGATGTTAGACGAGTTCCACTCCTCTGTACCTGACACAATACTTTACCAAGTTACTTCTCACCTACGCACAAGTTGAAACCATTGTAAAACTAGCACTATCAGTCAGGCTGAATGATATGTTGTCAGCACAGGTACTACAGATATGTACCCCAGGCATGTTTCTGTATACAGAAATGTATCCTAAACAAAGTCAAAATACAGAAACATACCCGATACCCTAAACGGCGGATGTGTCCATATTCCACAACTCAAAACCGAAACCGTATGTAGTTATTCTCTTTCAACAGACTGAAAGTGCTATTGTGCATTATGAAATATTCGTTACTGTGTTTGCTCTTTTCTTATATAACGCAATTAAATGCATCTAATACAATAGAATGACAGTTCCGATCAAGACAAAAGGCAAAAAGCGGAATAGACTTGTCCTAGGGTACGATTCTGTGGTCTAATGTTGGTTAGGTTACATTTCTGAATTCAGAAACGTTCCGAGGGTACACATCTGTGGTACCCATGCCAACAACGACCCCTTTAGCATTACTCAATAGGTGGTGAAACAATGGAGATGATTTCAGGTTCTCAGTCAGAGCTAGACAACCACTTACCAAATAAAATCGCTACCCACGACTAGACACACTAATACTTTGTGAAGTTCTCACCAGGTCAAG